CACGTAATTAACACTGTAGTCATCAGTTCAATGTGAATTTGTCGATTATGGTAAAGTTTTGTGTTCTTCTGCTATCGAGTTCCAGCAAAACTCAAATGCTTTTTCTAAAGAAGAATTCCAAGGATATTGACTGTTTTGTAGTAGATTCACCGCGTTTACGTTTGACATTAGTGGCCTTTTGCCTTTTGTTTGTCATTTGTAAACAATAGCTAATTATTAAAATAATAGAACTACTACGTCGATTAATCAGTGCTTCTGACCAAATTCCGGACAGATTTTACGTCATCAGTATCGAATTTCTGTCGCTGAGACGCAGACGTCTCTTTTGCAAAACGTCCCTAGCGATGAAGAGTGCGGAGAGACTGCTGTATTCGCAGGCTACTAAATTGGCAGCTGCAAGCATTTTTGCCAACGAGTGTACAAAATAACCGAACACTTTCGGTGGGTGAAGAGAGACAATGCGCACGGGAGAGCCTAATATTGCAAATGATGAAGGCAATTTTAAACTTCACAATAGTGAAGTTTCACTCAAACACGCGGAGGTTTTTGTGGAGATTTTATTGATCAGTTCAGCAGTCATTAAGTACATTTAATGTACGAATATGTAAGAGTTGTAAAAATACACGAGATAACACAATTGAGCAAGTCAGTTATTGTCTTCTTTGAAGCATCGCATTTCAACCGCTGTTTTTGACTTCTTTGGTTAGTAGGCCATTTCCGAGTTGCCCCAAGCCTCTGTTTTTAAACAAGGCTAAGGTGAAAGCCTTAAATATAAAAATTGTTTTGCTTTCCTCGTTCCAATCAAACTCATTTTCAAAAGAAATGTTTGCACTTAGCCTCGCTTTGAAAATGGGAGCTTTTGGAACTCCAAAAATGACAAATTGAAATTTGTAGTTTAGTTTCCATTTGTTTGACTTAATCAGTAACAGCTATTCAGACTCTATTAATAGTCAGTATAGTCAGTTTAGACTTACAATCAACAGTCATGAACATCGACTTCTTGGATGCATTTCCAATTCCATTATCAGCGGTGCAAACATACAGTCCTTCATCGCTTTTTCCACGCACGGTGAAAGAGCTATTTATGATATTGCTATCTTTTGACCAGGTAATGTCTGGTCCAGGATTACCATCAGCTCTACAAGTAAGATCCACTGACTCACTCTGATTCACTGTCATGTTTGCAGATATGTAAGTGATGCTTGGTGGATCTAGAGCAAAGCAGAAAAACAAAACATAAAGAGTCATGTTACAAAGGGATATTTCAGATTTCAAATTCGCTTCGTCGAAGTACAATTTTTACTTTTATACTTTTGCAACTAAGACATTAGTTTAAAAAAAAAGAGATGTTTCTCTACTTTTTTCTATGCTCTAAGAATGCAATACTTGTTAAACTCAAAGGCGTTCACCCAACTCATACACCCACCATGGTACAACTGTTGGTTTTCACGTGACGTCACTAAAATTCAAACTACCAAACTATCGATAGAACCGATATTTTACTTTCACGATGTATAAGAGCAGCTGAAAACTAAATTACATACAAAGTTTCGCTTCAAAAGGGTTCTTGGTTTTGTGATAGAGTACGCTTGAATATCTAAGCTTTTGCGTGACGCGGCATTTACATGACGGCCAAGAGAGCTGTCATGTAGGTTAAATAAATTACTTATTTCAAGGAATTTCGCCATCTAAACAGTTCACGTATTAGAAAAAGTATTACTTTAAGGTTTATGAGTTCCTCGAAGAATAAATTCACGCTTTTGTGGTAAAACTCGGTAACAGATGTTTCTGTTGGTTTCCGTCCGCCATGTTGGTGCTCATCCGGATGAGCACCAGCATGTTATGTCGTATTTGAATATATTATTTCTTTCTAAGTATTTGAGTGGAGTACCTGTAAACTAGCTGGATAAGCTAAGTGCACTTTCCACTATAAACAAGCCATAATGGCTCTTGATCACAATAGGTTAGGCCTCGAAAACAAATTCTTGGAAAACAAATCAGGCCGAATTTTTTTGCGTTCGATAGGTTTACTTTACAAATTGTTGACAACAAATCTGGGGGTGTGTAAACAAACTTTTTATACTTTTTATACATCACATCTGAGGTGAAACAGTACTATTTATCATACAGACCTCGCCGGACAGAATGCGGTATTTCTCAGTTTTCCAAGACAACGCGAAACCGTTCAAAAAATATCCAAAATCACCCACACGGCCAGCCGGTTCTTATTTCTAGTGCGAGCTGCCAGTGTGGTCGAGTGTTTAAATGAACTTTAATAGAGTTACGCTTCAACATAATAACGAATTTATTAATATTATTTTTTGTTATTTAATGGTTTCAGTATAACGATTTGTAATCTTATAAAACGTTTGATACGCGCGACATTTTTGAGTACTCCTGCAAGCGATGTTCATGAACGATGAAAACAAACGGCACGGACAAGCGACTAAACTTACAAGAGAGACTACTAACAATCAATAAAAGAAATATAATTCGGTGAAACATTTACAGAGACAACAATTTTCATTCACGAAGACATGCACAAGTATTAAAGGGTCTCTAAAAATCCTGAGTCTTTAAGTGTAAAGCTTAAGTTTATGACTTTAAGCCGGCTTCCCGGTGTTCACTGTTTTCAAAGATGAACCCAAGAAAATCGCTCAAAGTTTTCTTTCTACAGCCAAATTTATTGCCTGCGTGCACACGTCTCCTATTTCCTTTGTTGCACCCGGAAAACGGACGTCTGCACGCAGGCAACCAAATTTATAACTAAATATTCTTCAGAACGTTTTCTTTCTATTTGCGGTGAGAAAATATATTTGAAAGCTTTTTAAAGTTCTGTAAGCTTATATCAAACCTGATACTAGGTCAGATCATTGACTCAAATCTCACAAACGTGCATAAACTTGGTGCATAAACTGTGCTCGACTTCATGAAATTAGATATAACAAAAACAAACATCAAATACAATAATTACTCAGGATGACCATTCGAGATTCAGTTCCTGAAAGCCATCAAGGAAGGCCACAATTGCTTGAGACTTTTAAACCCTCTTACGTATTAAGCAAGGTGACAGCTGAAGGTAAAAAACGAAAACAATGCCATCCGAAATCGGATTACCGAATTTTGACAAGCGACGTATTTCTCAACCAAAAACCCAATAAACAAACCAGCCATGAATAACAGAAGACTCTTGATAGCAGCTGTATTTCATTCTGTACATCCAGAGGAAAAAGACAGTTAAAAACATCACAAGTTGACACAAAACTTTGTCAGCTTCAGCTGCCAAAGTAAACAACTTTCAAGATGCTGTATAAATTTTCCGCATGAACTCACGTGTCAAATTTTGACCAGTCAGAGCATAAAAATTGGACGTAGAGCGTTATCAACGAGTCACCATAGTAAGAAAAGGTCTTCCCCGCCTGTAAATGTCCTGTGATTTCCGTATCAGAATAGAAGAATTTGAAAGGAATTTCGATATTTTGCAGGCTCTCGCAAAATGGGCAAAAAAACTGTGAAACTGATCTTGCATTTAAAAGGTATGGATCTTACGACGTTGCTTGTAGTTGATCAAGTGGTTCTAGAATAAATAACACCTGGGAGAACAGCACGATCTCTCTTAACAAGGT